CTCCCTCCCTCCCTCCCTCTCTCCCTCCTTCCCTCCTTTCTTCTCTCCTTCAAGGTTTGAATTAATAATGGTTTTCATGTTGCTTTAACACTCTTGGTTGGTTATTTAAAATGTACAGGTCGTCCTTCATCAAACACTCTTCAATGTCCTCATAAGACTAAGCTATATGGCTCCTGACTGGAACACATATCTACTGTACATTTTTTCCTCACCTATTATTTTATTTAATTTTCATGAAACCTTTTGGTAGCGTTACCGTCACTCTAGAGAGATAATCAAACAGAATCACACCTGCTGGGAACTTACAGTTGAGACTTAAAAATACATGTTTATTCTTATTTATATAGATGCATGTCTGACTACTGAGTACATGCCATGTGTATAGGTGGTATACATGGAGGCCAGAAGAGGGTATCAGATCCTCTGGAACTGGAGTTTACAGGTAGTTGGGAGACGCCTAAACTGATCTTAGATTCTCTGGGAGAATAGTAAACGCTATGAACCCCTGATCAATCTCTCCAGCCCCAGAGTTACTTAAATCTGTAATTGATTTATTTCTTAATTTAAACTCTTGTCCCTTCTAGAACATTTGTCAGTATTACTCTTGTTTTGCAAATGAGAAAGAAAATCAAAACTATGCATGTCTCCTCCTCATCCCACATGGTTTATTCTCCACATGATCATGGTTTTCTTGGATGACTGCCATCATCATTGCAACTTTGCTATTCTAGCATAGTTCTGTCCAAGAAGATAATAGTTAAGAATAATTGTAATATTCTTTTAAGGAACATCCAGAAGAACAATCATTTGTAACAAATTCATGATTGACTTTTCAACAGACACATCAATCATCTGTGTGGTTTTGTTAGACTCTTTCTCCCCTTCAGGCCTCAGTTTGGTATCCAAGAACGTGTAAAGATCGTGGCATCCTATCACACTCTCGACTCACATCGCCTTAAGCTCCAGGCTTGTACTGAAGAGCTGGCTTTAAACCAAACCTAAAACCCCTTGAACATCACAGCTCTGGCCTTTACTCTCCAAGATGCTACTAACTCATTGTCAGGGTCTTGCACATTATCACTGGGACAAATAAACAGACTTACCTTATAAATGGCATATTCTGGTGGCATTTCTAAGGGTTTAGTGAAATAAGAATGTCACTAACTCTTGGTTTCATTGAGATGGGATGAGCCCCTTGTAGGCAGTGCACTACTTTGTCTCTGGTAACTATGACTTGAAAAAAATATGACAAGTTACCCAGCACTGTTATCTTTTTAGTCTTTTGTCACATATATTTACAAATATATTACAGAGGTAATCAACAGAAGTAAGAAAACTCCTTTATGATGTTGTGTCATTACATAAGAATGCTAACTAAATTGCATTCTATGATTTTACCATTACACAGAGAGAAAGTCACCATGTTTCTGGTGTGCTGCTGTTGACTAAAGGTCACACATTGCTGAATGGTCCTCACTGTGCAGCACAGATTATTTTCTTCATCTAAGGCAGTGATTTTCAGCCTTCCTAATGCTTCAACCATTTAATACAGTTCCTCATGTTGTGGTGACTTCTAATAATAAAATTATTTTTGTTGCTCCTTCATAACTAATTGTGCTACTGGCAAATACCTGATGTGCAAAATATCTGATATGAGATTCAGTGAAAGAGTCAATTGTTCCTGGCAGGGTTTGTGACACACAAGTTGAAAACAGCTTTTCTAGGTGGACAACAGCAGTATTTTACTCTTTAAAAAAAAGACTTAGGTTAAAAATAAGGTAGCGTGATAAAGCAGCATAGGATTTAATTCAAGGGCTACCACGAGCGTATCTCAGAGAGACTGCAGTGAGAGAACTAATTTTTTAAAACTACTTTATTGGCAATCATGAGAATAGGAAGTGACAAATATAAACAAAGGGATTCTGGAAAATTCCAGAAATGGCTCCTCTTCCAAGCTTTGTTTCTTTAAATGTTTACAGTCATACATGTCCTTTGGGACTCTTGAATTAATTTGGGGTAGACAGATGTTAATGTTTAATGTCTGATAACACAGTTGTTTTAAGAGTGGCTTTCTAAGCAGTGCTCCTTAACTGACACCTGATTAATCAACTAGCTTGCATCTTCCTGTAGCCTCATTCTTCGATTTCACTGCAAACTGAACTTTCTCTGCAGTATGTCAGCTTCCTGTTCTGTATGGGCACCACAATTGACTCTACTAGCTGAACTGTATGACAGCCTGGGCTTGACTACATTTAATTCCACACTTTATCACTGTAATAGTGCAACACCTGCACTTTACTAAGCAATGCAGATGACTAGATCAAAAATATATATATACTGTCACTGTAAAAATTAAATACTTCGGTCAAGCAAATTACCAATAAAATGGAACATCCAAACAACATATAAAAGAACTGGGAACTTTAAAAGGCTAGAAAAATTTGCTGTTAATTGTCTTATAATTGTGTCTGAGTTCTTTCACACTCAGGGAACAGAGCCTAGAAAATGCTGAAGGTGAATTATGAGCTTTGTGGGCAAGACCATCTGGAACTTAAATCACCTTTTCACTCGCAAAGAAAAAGCTGTGAGTTCATGACAGCAGACTGATAGGTGAAAATGCATTTATACTTCTTTTGGTAAAATAAGACGTTCAAGGTCTCTATTTCATGATTATCTAATTAAACTGATAATTTTTAATTAGCAATCTGTGATGGTCAGTTTTGTTACTTTGGCTGAACTGTGAAGTACATAGCTGCTTAATCAAGTATTATTCCAGTGTTTCAGTGAGGCTGGTTTTAGATAACCTTTTGAATTGGGATACAAGGAAAGCATGTGGTCCTCCCAAGACACAAACAGAAGAAAGAGTATACCCTCCTGTAAGACCCTATGCCTTCTGCTTGAGTATTTGAGGTGACATGTCAATCTTTGCCTGCCTTTGAACTAGAATTTAAATAGGAGTTCCTTTTGGGTTTTGAACAAAGACGATTTGGGGACTGGAAACAAATTATCATCCTTCTGGATCTTCCACTCTCCAATTATGGTTCATAGAACTTTTCAGCTTCCATAATTACAAGAGTCAATTCTTTAGAATGAGTCTCTTTTTGTGTGCACATACATCTACTTTTATAGAGAATCCTGAGATAACAATCTCATCATTCACATTTGCTTAACAAACTTCTGTTGAATTCTTTGTCTCTGTTCTAGCTAGCTTTAATTATGAACTTGACACAGCCTAGAGTCATCTGAGGCAGTCTCAATTGGCAGATTGCCAGATGATTATTGATGTGGAAGGGACCAGGTCACTGTGGGCAGCATCATTCCTGGGCAGGTGAACTAGCCTTTGTAAGAAAGATAGCTGAACTTGAGGAAGTGATCATCCAGATAGCAAACAAGCAAGTAAGCACTGCTCTATGCTTTCTGCTGTAAGTTCCTATCTTGGCTCCTACAATAATGAACTGGGATATGGAAGCATAAGCCAAATAAACCCTAAGCTGTTTTGGGTCAGATTGCTGTTTCTTACCAACAGAAAGGAAACTAGAACATCCCTGTTCCATCATGGTATAAGATGCTTCTAGATACTGGAAAAGACTAATAGGGGACAGAGAGACGTCTCTTTCCTCATAGAAAAGACAATTTTTGAGTTAATTAGTATTTGTGATCCAGGTTAAGACAGTTTTTTAAAAGGCAAAATGAGGTCCAAGTGACTGGTAAAGGGGGGAAGTTTATATTCACTTGTCAGGGAAATAAAACTCAGTATAAAAAGGAGTTGGCTTGTTTAAGTATCACACATGATGACAGGAGAGTCACACCAGAGAGTTCTAAATCAGGCTGGGACTCAGACACCATGTCAGAGTACGGGTTTGAAGTTTCATTTTAAGCAACTAGGAAGAATGAGAATATGGGGTGTGATGTAATTTAGAATTTTAAAGGTCATTCTAAAAGTCATACAGAATAAGAATTAAGTTATGTAGGGCATTGTTAGAGAAATTGTGGTTATAGCAATGTACCGACCTCAGAAGCTACTGAGGTGCCATTCTGTCCTGGTACAGTTTGAGAAAAGAGTGTAAGAGAAGAAATCAATGAATCTACTGTCATAGAAGAAAACTATGATAGTAGCAAAAATGGATGAGAGTTAAAGACAGAAAGAATAGTAAATAAGACGTCTTAAAAATAGTTTTGTATACGGCCACTGAGTTGAAAAGAGGACATTGGATCCCGAGGAACTAGAGTTTCAAATGTTTATGAGCTCATCATGTGAGTGTTGGCAATTGAACCCAGATTCTCTTCAGGAACAGTAAAAACTCTTAACTTTCTCTGTATTGCTGAGCTATAGCTACACACACACACACACACACACACACACACACACACACACACACACTATTGTCTTCAAAATCAACATATTTTGAGCATTAACTTAAAGAATCTAAAACCTTGGGGCAGTATGTGATATATAGTAAGCACACAAAAATCAGAAGTTAAGTGGTTATTGTGTCTTTAAAAGAGCTGAAACCCAGGAGGGAGGCCTGAGCTGACTGAAGGTCATTAGACAGTACTGGGAGCAAAGGATTTACCTGAGAGTTCTGTAGGAGAGAATGCAAGAAAATACATGATGGGATTTCAAGTACAAGTTCTTGAATTTGAACATTTAGGAGATGATCAAAGAGCAACGTCTAGCAAAGACAACTAGTGATCAAATGAAGTGAGAGGAAGCATAAAGGAGTGTGCTGTCAGCCAACCTTAGAAAAGAGTTTCAAAGAAGATTGGCTGATTAAATGATTCCCTTCTAAACATGCAATGATGGGGTCAAGGCCATTGCCTATGTATTTAGCAAGAGGAATTTGATGTGATCTTGAGGTGGATAATTTCTCTGGAGTGGTAACAATAGAAGCTAAATTATAAAGATTAAAGAGAATTGCATTTCTGATGAGCACTGATGATGTGATTACTATGAGCAATTTCATATCATTTTTAAAATGCTTGGAGAGGCCAGAAAGAAATGGTTCAGTGGTTCAGAACACTGGCTGCTCTTTCAAATAAAACTGGATTTAATTTTCAGCATTCATATAGTGTTTAATAGCCATCCATAACTTCAGTTCCAAGGAATCTTATATGCTCTTCAGACCTCCCTGGGCACATCCTCAGGCACCACACATGTGTGTGGGACATGTACATACACACAAACAAAACAATAATACACATAAAAATAAGTAAATCTAAGAAACATTTTTAATGATTTGAACACAGCAGCCACAGAACTGAGTGGATTCCAATAGCAAGTGAGAGATTTCAACAAGCTTTTGGACAATGAAAAATGATGGAGCAGGGATAACTGTAGCAGTCTGGGAAAGGTAAAAGTGAGCTCAATGGTATCAAGAAGCAAGTGGACAACAGTAAAGATGATGTGTACCTCCAAGACTTGGGAGGCATTGTGACATGGAGAATTTGGGAACCCTTGAATCACCTGTTGAAATTTTGTCTATGAGTGCCAGAACTGGTAGACCACCTGCCCTCAGACTGCCTCCATTTTTTTTGCATCTCTCCATTATCCTCAATACTCCCACCATTCCTCTTCACCATGTCCCAAGTGAGGTAAAGACCCCCTGCTTTACAGAGGTCCAGCCAAAATATTGGGAGGAGAACCTTGTTCAACCACAAGCCACACAGATCAGAAGATCAGAGAGGAAACAGAAACCAAGGGGAAAAACACCATTATAACAAAGACAAACTCAAAAATCGGTTTTTAGAGCTATAATCACCCCAAACCCAGATGCCTAGATGCCAGCATAAGAACACAGTCAACACATCTAGGGCACTATGTCTGCATCAGAGCCCAGCTAGCCGACTGCAGCAAGTCCTGCATGTTCCAACTGAGCTGAAGCACAAGACCTTAAAACAAATTGTATAATGACAATAAAGATCCTCAATGAGCAAGTAAAAGATTAGCTTAAAGAAAGTGAGGAAAAGACAAAAAAAATTGGAGAAAATGAATAAATCCCTTAAAGAAGGCACAAAAAATAAAAATAAACCAACAGTTGAAAGAAATAAAAGAAAGATCCAAAATCTGAAAATGTAATTAGAAGCAATAGAGAAAGTACAAACAGAAGGAATTCTGGAAATAAAAAAATCTAGGTAAACAAACAGGAACTACAGAGGCAAGCAAGGATCAACAACAGAAAACAAGAGATAGAAGAAAAAATCTCAGGTGTTGTAGATACTATAGAAGAAGCAGCTACATCAGTCAAATAAATGTTAAATTTAAAAAAATGTATTATCACAAAACATACTGGTAATCTAGGACAATATAAAAAGACCAAAATAATAGGAATAAAAGAAGAAGGAGAAGGAGAAGGAGAAGAAGTAGCATGTTAGCTCAAAGATTTAGAAAATATTTTCAATAAAAATCATAGACGAAAAACTTTCTAATCTTAAGGAGACTCTTAAAAAGCATACACACCAAATTGATTGAATCAGAAAAGACAGTCCCCTAATCACATAATCTAGACACTAAATGTACAACACAAAGAAAGACTATTAAAAACTGCAAGAGAAAAAAAGGAACATATAAAGGAAGAACTATTAGCACTACACTCAGTTTCTCAATGGAGACTTAAAAAGCTAGAAGGCTCTGGAAAGATGCACTGAAGACTCTAAGAGACTACAGATGCCAGTCCAGACTACTATACCCAGAAAAACTTTTAACCACCATAGATGGAGCAAACAGGATCATCCATGATAAATCAATTTTAAACAATATTTATGTATAAATCCAGCTCTACAGAAGGTATGAGAAAGAAAATTCTAACGCATAAAAACGAAACACGGAAAATAAGTAATCTCATAGCAGCAAACTCAGAAGAAGGTAAATACATACACACACGCACACACACACACATACACACACACCACTACCACCACCACCACCAACAGTAATAATCATTCATTATTGATATTTCTCAGTGTCAATAAAAAGACACAGACTAACAGAATGAATGAAAAACAGGATCCTTCCTTCTGTTGTCTACAAAAAACACACCTCAATACCAAAGATACACATTATTGTGGTAAAGGGTTGGAAAAAAAATTTCTTTTTTTTTTCTTTTTTTTTTTTCCTTTTTTTTTTCCTTTTTTTTTATTGGATGATTTATTTACATTTCCTATGTTGTCCCCTTACCCCATCCCCCACCACCCCCTCGGAACCTCCAATCCCCTCGCCCCTCCTCCTTCTTCTCTGTGGATGTAACCTCTATCTACACCCCCCCCACTCCCACCTCCCCACCCTCAAAATTCCCACCCCCTGGGGCATCCAGCCTTCATGAGGTCAAGGTTCTCTTCTTCCACCTATGCCCAGCAGGGCCCTCCACTTTTACATATTCAGCTGAAGCCCTGGATCCCCCCCTAAGTGCTCCCAGGCTGGTGGTTTAGACCCTGGGAGCTGTGGTTGGTTGGTATTGTTGCTCTCCTCATGGTGCCACAAACCCTTTCAGCTCCTTCAGTCTTCACTCTAACTCCTCTATTGAGAACCCCATGATCAGTTCAATGGCTAGTTGTGAGCATCTGCCTCTGAATATGTCTGACTCTTGAAGGCCTCTGAGGAGATACCCATATCAGGCTCTTATCAGCATGCACTTCCTGTCTCCCACATCAGCATCTACCTTTGGTGATTGCACATGGGATAGATACTCAGGTGGGGTGGTCTTGAGACGGCCCCTCCTTCAGTTTCTGTCCCTCACTTTGTCTCCATATTTGCTCCCTTGAGTATTTTGTTGCTCCTTCTAAGAAGGACCGAATCACCCTCACTTGGTCTTCCTTCTTTATGGGCTTCATGTGGCCTGTGAGTTGCATCTTGGGCATTTCAAGGTTCTAGGCTAATATCCAATAATCAGTGAGTGAATACCATGTGTCTTCTTTTGTGATTGGCTTACCTCACTCAGGATGATAATTTCTAGTTCCATCCATTTACCTAGGAACCTCTCGAATTCATTGTTTTTAATAGCTGAGTAATACTCCATTGTGTAAATATACCACATTTTTTGAATCCATTCCTCAGTTGAAGGACATCTGGGTTCTTTCCAGCTCCTGGCTATTATAAATAAGGCTGCTATGAACATAGTTGAGCATATGTCCTTGTTATATGTTCGAGCATCTTCTGGGTATATGCCTAGGAGTGGTATAGCTGGATCCTCGGGTAATGCTATGTCCAATTTTCTGAGGAACCGCCAGACTGATTTCCAAAGTGGTTGCACCATCTTGCAGTCCCACCAACAATGGAGGAGTGTTCCTCTTTCTCCACACCCTCGCCAGCATCTACTATCACCTGAGTTTTTAATCTTAGCCATTCTGACTGGTGTGAGATGGAATCTCAGGGTTGTTTTGATTTGCATTTCCCTGACGACTAAGGATGCTGAACATTTCTTTAGATGCTTCTCGGCCATTCGAGTTTCTTCCGTTGGAAATTCTTTGTTAAGCTCTATACCCCATTTTTTAATAGGGTAATTTGGTTGTCTGGAGTCTAATTTCTTGAGTTCTTTGTATATATTGGATATTAGCCCTCTATCAGATGAAGGATTGGTAAAGATCTTTTCCCAATTTGTTGGTTGTCGTTTTGTCCTATTGACAGTGTCCTTTGCCTTACAGAAACTTTGCAATTTTATGAAGTCCCATTTGTCAATTCTCAATCTTAGAGCATATGCCATTGGAGTTCTGTTCAGGAACTTTTCCCCTGTGCCCAAGAATTCGAGGCTTTTCCCCACCTTCTCTTCTATTAGTTTCAGTGTATCTGGTTTTATGTGGAGGTCCTTTATCCACTTAGACTTGAGCTTTGTACAAGGGGATAAGAATGGATCAATTTTCATTCTTCTACATGTTGTCTTCCAGTTGAACCAGCACCATTTGTTGAAAATGCTGTCCTTTTTCCACTGGACAGTTTTAGCTCCTTTGTCAAAGATCAAGTGACCATAGGAGTGTGGGTTCATTTCTGGGTCTTCAATTCTATTCCATTGATCTTCCTGCCTGTCTCTGTACCAATACCAGGTAGTTTTTATCACTATT